GTTTTTGCAGAAAATGTTTCCGCAGAATTCTGGGCAAAAATTTCCGCCGAGTTTAAGACATTTACGAAGAAAAATTTCTGCAGAATTCTTCTACATCGGGAAAAGAGAAGAATTCTGCCGAGATTTTGAGGGGGGCGTGAGAGTGAGACACGAGACAACGTGTCATGACCATGGGGGGCGCAGATGGAAATTTAGGATAGATGTCTCTTAATAATGGAGTTTCAGTTTTGGTTGTTGATTTGTTGTCGTTGGGCGCTGGATTAAGGCTTTTTGTGTATTGGTGTTATTGGAATATGGGTCAGTCCTACATAGTTTTTGCAGTAGAGCAGTAAAGGCCTGAGATCGGTATGATATATGTAGTACACGTACTTCGAACGCTGGAGGTGGAGATAAGATTAAAGTGAATACGGAATTTTATACGATGTTCAGTAATTAAAATATATGAATGTTTACTCACTCCAAAATAGACGGCTACCCTATATTCAGACATGTCACAATATGGATACAGAATGTATCCACTGCATATAACGGTCTTAAAGTAAGAATACGGACACTATCTGTATTCTCGTAAATCCTACACATGGATAAAATGGACATGTACATACACCGGTATTCACATATATATATAATTATTTATATTGCTTATCTGTATGTATTTATCATTTCTTGGGATTCTGCGATGTCACTCTGTAGTCTGTACCCGTATTCACCCTGTATCCGTACTGACAAATATCTATGTATTTACGAATTCTCGTGATTCTGCGATTTTATTCTATAGTCTCCACACATATTCACACATACATGTACATCTATGTATTAGAAATAATGATGCTGTACTTGTGCTTCCATCCGTGTTATCGCATTGAATTGAGAAAAGAATGTTGTTTGACTGAGGCGTATGTACATACCGGTCGCTTTCACATAGGTGTAGGCAGCAGAGCTCCGTATAGACTCAAATTTTTGAGTCCAGTCCAGTCCATGGACTAAAAAAGTCTAGTCCAGTCCAGTTCGAGTCCATGAAATCCAGAAAATCTGAGTCCAGTCCAGTCCACACGGACTGGACTGGACCGGACTATGGACTCAATCCAGTCCATACGGAGCTCTGGTAGGTAGAGCAGGAAACACCTTAAACGTGAATCGTATTACATACAGATATTTTCGTACACCGTAACTTATAAATCGTAATTTATGTCAACACGGATACAGACTGCAGAGTAAAATCCCAGAATCTCAAGAATTCATAAATACATAGATAAATGTCAATACGGATACAGAGTGAATACGGATACAGAGTGAATACGGATACAGAGCAAAATCCCAGAATCCCAAGAATTCATAAATACATAGATAAATGTCAATACGGATACAGACTACAGAGTAAAATCCCGGAATCCCAAGAATTCATAAATGCATAGATAAATGTCAATACGGATACAGAGTGAATACGGATACAGAGTAAAATCCCAGAATCCCAAGAATTCATAAATACATAGATAAATGTCAATACGGATACAGACTACAGAGTAAAATCCCGGAATCCCAAGAATTCATAAATGCATAGACATATGTCAATACGAATACAGAGTAAAATCCCAGAATCCCAAGAATTTATAAATACATAGATAAATGTCAATACGGATACAGAGTGAATACGGATACAGAATACAGAGTAAAGTCTCTGTTGTTGCTGTAGCTGCTGTGTGTTGAGTGGATACATTCTGTATCCGTATTATGACAGCACTCTTTAAAGTGGAGTAATAAGGTCTTTGTGACTGAAAATTTTATTAAAACAGTCGATGGTATCGACAGAGAAAAAAAGCAATATTAGAACGATTATTTAAGACCAGTGAACATGATTTTAATTCATAAAAACGATAAAGAAACATCTTTTATTTTAACGTCGGGATTTGAGGCTCAAAATCTTATCGAGTTAATTCATAAAAAACGACATTCTAAAGTATGGCTAATGCATCTGGATGATGTAAACGGATCAACAATAATTTCTGAAGATGCTACAGACTTATCACAAGAAGAAATGATTAAAGTAATAACCGTCATTCGATTGTTTAATGGTGTGTCTCGTTATAATGAAGAAGAAATTGATGTAATAAAAAAATGTCTTGCTGTTGTTGATTGCGGTTATTTTGATAAAGATGCAGCAAGATCAAAACGAATTTACGATGAACTCGAATCAAAACACCACATTTTAAATGGTTTTATGACTTACAAACTAGCAGCTAAATGAAAATTTTTTACTAGAGATAGAAGCTGAGCTTGGAATTGATATTCAAAGTAAACTTCAGGAGATCATCTATGAAAGTATTGCAGAGGATTCGTCAAGAGTATGGGAATTATCTGAATTGATTAAACAGTTGATTAAAATTAGAGGAAAGACTAAGCAGTATCAAAGAAGTATATTAAAAAAAATAATTGATAAGAATTCAGACTTTAACTCTGAATAAGTTTTAATTTCTGTACTTGTTATTGAGATATTCTATTACCTTTAAGTTTAAAATTTAGACTTTTCATTCTTACATAAAGAAGTCTACTTTTTTGAAAATGTCCTTACAAATGCCACTGCCTAAAAATTTGGCAATATAACTTGTTCGTCTTAATTTCCCGTAGTACACTCTCGGTTGTTACCATAGAACCATCTTTATCTGTTGAAACCAATTCATATCCAAATAAAATGTTCACACGCTACTGCTATTAATCTTTTTCATCCTTGCTGATAAAAAACAGAATTGTTTTTTTATTTTAAAATATTGTTGTTATGTCTATTGTTGATTTTTCTCAGAGTGTTAATTTGTTTTTGCTGTTGTTTTTTCGTTTCAGTTTTTAATGTCGTTATGTTGACAGAAATTTATATATCATTGATTCATAACTCTACTTTTAGTTGCTTCATTTTAAATATATGTTGTAGAGTGTTCAATTTTTCATGTACAACAGCGTCTCGTTTAACTCACACTTTCTGATGAAAAAATTGAAATTCTTAGGACAATTTTTCCAATTTCTTGCTATTGACTACATTCGATGCCTAAGTTTCTTCATGAAGCTGCCATTAGTAACATTGTAAATTACTTTATCTTATACAGAATTATGTGCTCTGCAAAATGCGACGTATACTTCTGTGTAAATTGAATTTGCATGCAAACCGGCTTCCCACCCATTTTCACCTAAAACTTTTGCGTCTCGACTTCTTCCTGAAAAATAACAAATCAAAGAAAATAATTTTACAAGTTACTCTTTCTTGTATAGCGTATCTCAGGTGAATACAGATGCCTTCAACGGGAAAGAGAGCAGCGTGACATAGTCAATACTACTAATATTTTGAAGAAGATGACAAAATACATATCTTTCTACATATTAGCAAAAACTCGAGAATAATCCATAGTATTGTTTCTAACGAAAAGGAGTTACGACAAACACCTTTATGGTTACAGAATACTCAATTTGCATCGAAAACACTTTGGGCTATCTAGTCACCATGTTGAAAACATCCATGGTCGCTCTGTTGAGAAATCCATAGTACAAACGCCATTTACCTAAAACCGAGTACAAATAGCTACTTATCGGTAACATTTTGAAAAGACAAATACAGGAATTTATAGCGCATGGAAATCTCTGTCGAACGGTGTATTACGTTATCGTCAGATCCTCTTACCGTCAGATTCCCAGAAACTGTAAATCCTCATAGTATTTTCTATTTTTCTCGTGTTTCTGAAGGACCCAAAGGTTAATGTTAGTTATAAAACGATGCGCCGCGAAATGCTCTACAAAGCCACACCTAAACTTTAATTTTAGAACTTCAATCAAGAAAACGATGAAAGATTATACGAAAGACGAAAAAAATGAAAACTTTGAAAATTTATGTTTTTTCACATTCACATTCATTTTTTATTCATGTAGACACCGTCATTTGCTTCTTTATCTGAAATTGTTCTTTTTGTTCGTTCTCCTCACATATGCACCGTTTCCTTTGTCAGCATCAAGAGTTTATTAATAAGATCTTTTTTACTTGTCTTTCATTCGTTCTTCTTTCTAATAAATAGATTTTATTCAATTTGAACTCCTATCTTTGTATCTACTCAATTAAAAAAACCATGCTAAACTATCGATCGACATTTTTACCCATCGACAATTTTATCTTTCGACGTTTTTATTCTTCGACATTTTTACCTTGCGATGTTTTTACCTTTCGACATTTGTATTATTTTTTTTCGAACATTATTACGCTATTTTTTCTTTCGACATTTTTAGTTTCGACCAAAGTTGAGATTATCATTTAGGACTTTTCTTGTAAATTCTATAATTTTGTAAAAAAATGTGGTGTAGAGCTGGGAGATGTCTCATTTTAATCGGAAATTTGTGGACTACAATCATGCCTCATTAAGAAAAGGTTCTGATCATTTTTTAGAGTTTCTAACAAACTGGTTTTTCGGAAAACTGGGTCTTCCAGAGCCATGGGCCCGAATCCGTTTAGGGTTCTTACTAGCTCACTATCCTCTGTCGATCGACATATAAATGATTCACAACGGGGGATATCATCTCGCGGTGTTCCCTCGTTAGCCAAGGAGTGATGGATAAAAATTATTTTTTTTACGAATCTATAGCTTATTGAATTCTCTACACGATGTTCAATAAGCTCCTTGTCCGATGCTTTGTTACTACACCACATCGTTTCTACGAATGGGTCGAGAATGACCCAGACTAGGGTAACGGGTTAAAGCATGGAACAGGCTCTCAGTCGAACAACCACAGCTTTCCGTTAGAATGCTTCTGATCAAGATGCGTCAAAAAACGAAAGATACACTACTCAGTACGAAAGTATGGATACCAGTAATTGCTAATAGAAGAATAGAGGCTCACCACTGTCGTATAAGAGTTGATTTCTCCGCACTTTGTTCAAATCTGAAAAAACATAAAATTACAGTTGACAATATTTGTTAACAGTCTTCTACTAATAGTGTGGAAGATCCAAAATATTACTTTCTTGATTGTCCTGGTAATGACCAGTCGAGAAGTAAACGACTTGAAACGCTTGAAGACAACGAGATTGTGGCTGATGAACTCTTTTATTGCGCGGAGATATAGGAGATAAAGATAAAATATTTCTGATCTACCAAACACCTTGCTGCTATATACTGGACACTGAAAGATTCATTCACTTAAGGACTATATACCTTTGTATTCCTCTTTCACCTGACTTATTATACTATAGAAGATATCTCTCTACTCATAAGATAAATAAAAATTGTATAGCTAAAAGATCTGAATAGCAATGTATACACACAAACACAAATCTACCTCTGTTAATGTCATCTAAAATCCCGTTTCTTCCTTTCTCTATATCCTAATATAAGAGGAATCGTCCTTTTCATCATTTGGTTTATTTATTTGCTTATCTTTCTTTTCTGTTCTATTTTCTGATAGAATAGTGCTTTAAGTGATATAGTACAATAACAGTTGCAATTTGGTTCTTGTATCATTTCTTTTCTTTTGTTTTTAAAATAAAAAAAGTATATACTAACATATTAGTGCCTAGAAGTGACATTCTTTTAACGATCCAGAAACAGACTGAAAAGAGGCGTTTAACCACCACCGTTTAATGTCCACTGCTGCGTAATTATTGGCTGTTTATGGTCAATTACGGAAATATTGATTATGATTAGTTTCACATGAAATACCAGGTGTGCCAATATTATAGCATCCTCTAGCAAACTTACGTTACATTCTGCGAAGAGGAGTTACAGATTTATTGACTATATATTTACAGAGTTCTATCTCTCTGCTATCCATTCCAGGTACCATTCGTTCTTGTCTGCTCTTCCATATGTGGAATAAAGATTTGCTGCCTCATAATAATAGCATCTCTGTTGATCTTTTCTTCCTTTCTGCTTCTCGTTTTATCAATCAGGTCGTCTTATAGTGGTGCACATACATAATCATCTAACATATTTTTCTGTATTTGGATTATAAAAGAAAGCGTGTAAAGCTGTGAGTATTGATACTGAAAAAGAATTACACATAAAAATAGAAAGAAGAGAATTTCGACCGTGATAGATTTTAGCACAAAAACTCAAGTGAGTTTGCTTTAAGGATTTAAACATGCATGCGTTTCGCTATCAAGATCGTCTCTTGTACGTAGCAAGACCGATTAATTCCACACTACGTAAGGAAAATTGCGTCGATTGTGAGATCTGAGCAAGAATAAAACGCGAACGGAATGAGAGATCGGACTTGAAACTGTTGCACGATTTTCTCCTCACTAAGTCATCAAGTGTGACTATCGCCAAACGCCATAATCTCGTGAAAAGCTGTCGAATCATAAATCACTTATGAAAAGAAAAACACGATGTACTACCGGTCGGTAACTTTCAAACAATAAAAAGAGAAATGCAAATTTGGGGTACAACAAA